AGGGCGCTAGGCTTTTAGGGTTAAGGGCTGGTGCCTACTACTCGAAGCAAATCCGGTGAGAGCCAGGGTTCCTTCATGAAGCTCATCATTTGTTTGGGGGGCTTGTGCCAGGGATTTTAGGGTTTAGGGTTTAGGCCACTAAACACACCAGGCCTCCCCCGCGATTGTTGGCTTCATCATTCTTGGTGCTGGTTTTTTTCACTGTTTTTGGGGGATTCCTTTTTCCGGGTTAGGGCTTGCTCCCTCTATTTTCTCTAGTTTTGTGTAAGAAAACAAGTATTTTCTGGTTGGTGAGATTTGGCTTCTGGCTTTTTCCAAAAAGGTTCTTCGGCTTGTGGTTCCCGGCCTCTTGGATTTTTGGCTTCTCGGCTTCGTGGCTTCTTGGCTTCCTGGCTTCCTTGGATTTCTGTTTTCTCGGCATTTTTGGATCCAGAAGGCATCATCGACCTGATCAATGCCGACCGTGTGCCGCAGCCAAAGTGGTCGCGCTCCTCGCTCTGGCAACTTTGGACCAAGCTGCGATAGACGCTGGGAATTGGTTAGCGGCCGCCTTTCGGCCTGCCTCCAGGCCGTTTCGTCTTCTCTTCCTCCTACTCTGATCTTGCCAGCGCTCTTGCGGTGGGACCAGGTTGGATTGATTTGTTTTCAGGGTCTCAGGGTTTCCTAAAGCCCTCGACGCCTCGACGCCATGGGCCCCGTGCTGGATTCTCTGCTACAACATTGGTCACGATCGGTCGGAGGATCTGCTGGATACGCACACCCCTGTTTGCAGGCGCTGTTTGCGCAGTTCTCGAGCACTATGCCGCCACCCTGGCAAACCAAGGCATTCCCTCATGGACGCCCAGATCTGCGGCCGGCGCAGGCTGAAAAGGTACAGCTTGGCAACCTGCTTCTGGAGATTTCTGGAGTTTGTACTTTGATTGCTGGATATCATCTACTGGATCATACTGCGTTTTCGGCGGCCCTTGGAGGAAAGCCACTCGCGCAGCTTCATGCGCACCTCATCCTACGTGGGCGTTGCAAAGACAAGAAGATCGTGACTCGCCTTGCTGAGCCCTACACACGAAGGCTTTGCAGTCTCTTAGCCGTCTCAGTGCCCGCGCACAAGACTTGGGATGGCTGCGGGACTACAGACCGCTTACCGCTTGACATTGCCCGTGCGCATGTTTGAGTTGGCGAAGCTCCGCTGCCAGGTCCACGAGGACCTCGACGAGAGCCTCCAGTCCTGATCGAAGTGTCATTGGTCGAGCGTTTGCTGCAGGCCAAGATCTGGGAATTTCATCTCAGGATGACGGCGCAACCTTGGCTTTGTTCCCTTTCTTGGTCACATATGGCCAGGTCCTCTACGATCGTGACGCTTCTTTGCGTCTTTGCGCTGCTACCGACAGCTGCTTGGGCCCATGTGAACGTACGAGAGTCTTGCTCAAACCGCCTGGGTGACCAAGTGGGAACGGGTCGAGCCAACGGCCGTCCTGAAAGCTATGTGGGCTGGCGCGCGCTTCTGGTTGGTTTTTGATGAACTTTGCTTAGTTTGCATGGACGATGCATAATCGGAGAAGACTTGAAGCATGCCGTTGCGATGTCCTTTGCCCGGATGGTTTGCTGGAAAGCGGAAGTCGGCGTTTTTTTGTTCTTATCCGCAAACCGAAGACTCGTGGTCGTGGGGCCCGCGCACAGCATTGATTTTGCATGTACAGGCGCAGCGCAGTGGGGGCCGACTCCTCCAAGTGCTCAGATTCAGCAGCTCCTTCGGACTCATTCCAGATTCTCCTCGAAGGGGGCGGAGCTGTCTCAGGTGATACCATGGTGCTTCCCTGGCAAGCATCATGTGGCAAATGCGGCTACAACACCAAGCCACGCTAGCGTATGTATTACTTACAGGTGCTCCCTGCTCTTCCGCTACGGAACGTGAAAGCAGCACTTGTTCGTTTTTCTGTTCTCGTCTCTTCTCTGCCCAGTTGTGCCTAGCCCTGCGGGCTGACTCGGCTGTAGGCCGGGCATTGTTAGCGGAGCTGACGTGCATGCTGCACTCTTCTGCCCAGGATGGGCTGACTCTGGCTGACTCAACACTCCAAGACTTTGTCCGAAGTCAGAAAAGAGTTCGGGAAAGTAATGAAGGTAATTACAAACATGAACATTTCCCTAAGCTGAGGGTCCAGCAAAGCTCGACGTAAGCCGCAGTAGTCCTTAATGGTAGCATACTGAAGCCATGGCAGTTGTCAAGCATTTTTTTTATCAATTCTAGAGTCCACCCTAAACCCTGAATCCAAAATAACCCAAATCCCTAAACTAGCAGAGCCTCAAAAAAAAAACCCAAAACGAAGGCGCTAGAGCGAGGAGAGCTCTCGCGGTGGTTCTTGGGCCCCTACCTGGAGGGCACACCGTACGCAGGCCTTATCTGCCGTTTAAATTGGGATGAAGCTTTGGAGTCCTCGGGCTCGTGGTCGAAATTTTCTGGAAGCATCCGTCCAGTTGGGGCCGAGCGTCATTCACAGGGGTCCATCCAGCGTGTCCACCAGCTCCTGAAAGGTGAGCAGTATTCGCCGGACCAGGTTGGCAAGCTCTACACCTTCAGATACTTGAGGGAAACCGAAGTTTGAAGAGCTGTTGTAAACACGAAGGAAGTTAGGACAGGAAACTTTGCATATTCCTGGTTTTCAATCAAAGAACCTTAGCGGAAAGTTAGTCTTCAAACATCTTAAACAGCCTAGGATATGATGCTGCGGACGGACCTGTGCACGTATGGCGGCATTGTCTCAACCTGCGACCAGCTGTCAATGAACGGCAGGCAGGTTCGAGCTTTGTGATTTCGGCACCTTGCATTGTAGTCAGAGTTTACCATTAATGTTGCACTGTCTTTAAACAACCATCCGGAAAAAGCCAGCGGGTTGCCCCAACAAACGGAGTTCGCAGAATAAGTTTCCGAAACTTGAGATTACAGACCCCATTAGGTTCTCACGTACGATAGTTTGCTGTAGTAGACTCTTATCGTCTATAGTTTTCTCTACTGTAGTTTTCTGTCATATATCATGAGAGCTGCATGTTGGCAGTGATGTCCGTTGTGTTTGATGTCGCGACATGAAATGCACAAATGGCGATCGGTGTTTTTGCAGAGAAGGTAAAGGAATAGCCACTCTGAGTTAACCGTCGAAAGGCGACAGCTCAGTGCCACCAGTATCATTGAACATACTTCCATTCCAGCCTGTTTTGCTTTACAAGGGACGTTAAGTTGGTGATAGGTATAGTGGCCTGGCACGCAGGAAGAATGCATCGTCCTGTACCACTACACGAGCGAACTGGGTTTTGAGAATGTCGCGAACACGAATTACGAAGACGCCACAGTCTTCGCCTCCTTGGTGGACTCGCGTGCCCACTTCGGCAAAGGTGTCTATGTTAGCCAGTACGAGCCAAGTGTGCTTCCGACACGTTTGCAGAGGTGTGTGGGACGTTTGCATTCGCCTAAGGAAGGGCTTCGCAATTTCAGTTCTGCGGCTTCTGCTCGTTGGTGAATAACGATATTTTAAGACGACTTACTTGAAGTTTTGTCATGTCTGTATTGAGTGAGTGTGCAAATCACTGCGCATATATATATATATATATGTATGTATATGTGGTTCGGCTTTTCTAGCTGCAGCATGCTTTGAGCAAGAAAGGTGTAATGCGAGCGTTCATTTGTTGTGCCTTGAAGCCTACTGATTTCTGTTGTCGTCATCAGGCTGCTGTTCTGGTTAGGGGTTTCCTTTTGAACAGCCCTGTTTTGATGCAAGAATGTGACCCAGAGAGCGGGGCCTAGCCGCCTAGCCAAAACGGCATTCCGGAAGAACTCAGATTGCGGGTGTTGGAGGCCTTGTCTTCGCCAGAAGATTACGGCTTTTGAGAGACGAGTTTCTTGCCGCCAGTTTGTGGCCGGACCCTTGCTACATGATGCAGTTCCTTGGGCCTGCTTCGCACAGCTCGGTTGAGAACTTCGTGGCGTTCCGAGCCAAACTCCGACCAGCTGCCACATGTCAGCTGGACTCTTTAACCTTCTCCAGGCACCTTCAGCGCGCCAGGAGCTTGCTGTGATGAGCCCTTGCAATAGGGATACTGAGTCCCAGTCAACATGTGCCAACCTGGCCAGGTATGGGGATTGCGAGTCCGGATTCTTCTGAACAACTATAGCAACGGGAGCCCGTTGCTCCGCCAGAGCCTTACAACTTGCGTGCGGCATTAACACTAAAGGGCGTACCCTTCGAAATGCCAAATGCCAAACTCTGAGCCTAGGATTTACGGTGTTTCGTGGCTTTGTCCGTTTCTAGACCTGAAAATGGAAGAGCAAAAATGCGGCGCAGCAGACATTCATCGGTATTTACAGTGTTTTCTGGCCTTGACAACGCGCACTAACCGGCACTGCTTTTTTGAGTGCTGTCTTGGAAGAGAGGAAATCATCGGTATTTACAGCATTTCGCACATTGCGGAATTTCGCGGTTATTTCATGTATGCTCGGTGTTTACGCTGTTTGGGGCTTCGGTTCTGGGATGTGCGGGCTTGCGCTGCTCAGAGGGTTTTGGGTTCGGGTTCAGGTTCTTATGATTGCGCTGCTCGTCGTTTGTGGGTTTTTTGCTGGTTCGGGTTTTGATGTTTTGGGTTGAGGGATTTGGGTTTAGGGATTTGGGTTGAGGGGCTTTGGGCTTGCATGAGTTTTAGCACGAATTTTTGGGAGGGTTTTCGAGATGGATTTAAGATGTGGTTGGTATGCGCCAGCAACACAGGATCTCACTCCGTACCCGGCCCAGACTGTTAATCTTCGCGCTGTCGGGAGGTTGTGATGCAAGGAGGATGTTTTTGCATTGCACTGCGTATCATCACACATTGGTATCAAGGAGACTATGCACGCTAGGGGCCATGCATGCTTTGCCAGCCTCCGAGCAATTTTTGCACAGCCGATGTGCCCCCGAGACCCGAAATTATACACGTAAATGCTTCTCCAAGCCACTGCAAGTGGCAGCCATGAACACCGCCCCCTTCGCTGACCCGCGTGAAGGGAAGGGAAGTCTCCATGGCATGCATCACGCAGCACAATTACAGTAGCTCATGCAGCAATGAAGTCAAGCCAAGCGCATTGTTGATGAAGTCCAAGTGCCGTCCGACTTCGAGCCATCTAAACTGGCAGATCTATATTGACAGCGTTCGCGCATTCGCGGATTCGCACGCACGGATTTGAGGATTCGCGGATTCGCAAGCGCGGTTTCGCGGATTCACGCATACGCGGATTCGCACATGATTCGCGGATTCGAGCATTCCCACGCGCGGATCGTCGCACGCGCGGATTCGTGGATTCGCGGATTCGCACGCGTGGCTTCGTGGACTCGCGGATTCGCATATTCGCACGCGCACGCGCGCGGAATTCTAGAGTTGCAGGAAATGATGGGCAGTATTTGCGGTTTGAGTTGCTAAAAATCTAGAGAGTATGTTGTGCGCCCCCCAACCCCCCCGCTTTTTTAAACCGTGCTGGCTTGATTCAGAGTATACCCATCTTTTCGAAATTTGATGCCAGCATTGATTTGCAGCCTGGAAACTCTGAAATGCTGCTAATCATTTACAGGGCCAGCATCTGAAAGCACAGAAATGCTGCTATTTAATAGCAGGCATTTGCAGCCTCTGGAAACTCAGAAATGCTGCTGTTTACAGTATTTCCCGCATAAATGCTGCACTTTTTCGGTTTTTAAAGGTTGCAAAGGGCCAGAAATGCTGCATTTCTGAGCATTTACAGCCCCCGAACAGTATAGCATATATCGTCTACGTAGTTGTAGGGGTCACATTTTTGTCCCTCCGCGTGCAATAAGCCTTGGAAGCGTTCAGTAAATTGCAAACGCTTGCGCGCGCCGCCTCGGCAGCCACACCACGGCCCAAGGACATCGGTTTGCAGCTCCTCCAAGCGATGTTAGACGAATCTGCATATCAGTTCTTAGTCAGTATTGTTGACCTTGAAGCCTTAAGCCCTGAACCCCTTAGCCCTAAACCCTAAACCCTAAACCCTAAACCCTAAACCCTAAACCCTAAACCCTAAACCCTAAACCCTAAACCCCTTCAACAGCCCTGAAGCCTTCAACTCTGAGCTCAGGTGACACAAGCAGCGCGGAGCCCACGCGAGTGAACCTGGAGTGGGGTGATGGCAACCAGTGGGGCCGCCAGCTGCAGATTGGTTTAGGGTTTAGGGTTTAGGGTTTAGGGTTTAGGGTGTAGGGTTTATTCATGGTGGGCAACCTTTCTGGCAGCCGAAGTGATTCATGGTGCATGCGTGATTGATTGCACATGCGTGATTGATCGTGGACTCGCTCCTTTCATGCGGTTTTTCATTGACCAAAGGATGTTAATTCATACTAGAAGAACGTTCACTCCACTTCAAGTTCATTCTAATTGGAGCTCTGGAAGTTAGTTCATGTCAGTGACTTATGCATGAATATTATGGCTCATTCTCTAGGCTTATATGAATGTAATAAGCGAATTGTTGAGCGATGTGGGGTTGGTGTGCTTATTCATTTGTGAGGATTTGTTGGCCATGGACATCTTGTCGAATGTTTGCCTTGTTCTCAATCGAGGTCACCGCGCAGCGTACTGCATCCCAATCATCATTTCTGCCTCCAGGGCCTACAATATCTTCAAACGGCACACGTGCCGCGGCAAAGAAGTACGTGTGTTTAGCTGTGCCTACTGATGTGTGTGACTGTGGAAATACTTGCACCTGATTTAACTAACTGCTCCCGCTGCTGCCGCTGCTGCTGCTGCCGCTTCTGCCGCTGCTGCCGCCGCCGCCGCTGCTGCTGCTGCTGCTACCACCGCTACCCCTATACCACTACGACGACGACGACGACGACTACGGCTACGACGACGACGACGACGACGACTACTACTACTACCACCATCACCACTACGACTACGACTATACGACTTCTACGACTACTACGACTTCTGCTTCTACTTGCTTTTACTGGTACCAAACTTCTACGACGACGACGGCGGCTGCTACTACTGCACCAGTTTTTGCCCTAAACGCTTTTGTGGTGCCTGCTATGCTGATACTTCCAATGCTAGTCTCAAAGCGGGGAAGCCATCACCCTTTCTGCTCCTAGGCCGGATTTTGCCAAGAGGTATGTCGAGGTTGATGGACGCACCCGCCGAGTCCGCCTTGGTCAAGATTACAAAGGTCGTGGGGAGGGTCTACAGGGCTGAGGGTGGGCTTAAGGCGGGCTTAGGGCCGGGGGATAGAGGATGTTCCTTACAGCCCTGGATCTAGGTTGAAAGACTAGCTTGGAATACCTGACCAGGTCGTCAGGTACATCGCAGCCGTGACGTATGGGTGATTGCGCTCGACGAGCATCTACAGGTAGAGAACAGGAAGACCAAGGAAGTGCTTGAGCAACGCCTCAAGATCCTCCGCATGGAGAAGGGGAACACAGACGATGCCACCCTGCAGTGCATGAACGAACTGGGCGAGAGGCCCGGTGGTCCTGCGCAGTGGTTTCTTACTTTCTTCGTAGTGCTGTGCAGTCTAAGGGAGGATATCTGCCTCGTGACCCTCCCTTCTGCTGATATCTTGCAAATCACTTTTGTCCGTCTGCTCGCCAACCCTAAAAACCTTATCAGCCGCTTGCGCTGGCATACTGCACCAAGACTCTTTGTATCAAGTCGGCACCCTCCATCACTCCCAGACCCCAGAACCCCAAACGATGTCGGGTTCGGGCGCCATCCGAAACGCAGGTTCTTCGCCCATGGCTGGATATCTGCTGCAGCACAGCTGCATATCGAGTGTCTGGTCAACCGCCGGGGCCTTGCTAGGGTTTTCGGGACTTAGGCTTGACGCTTTTTTGTCCGGTAGTTCGGGTGGCTCCTTACAGATTTTACAGGGCTCACCATGACTTAGGGCTTGAAGAAGGGAATTGAAGGATTGAGGGATGCCACATGCACAGGTTGATGTGGACATCTTGCAAGTTATAATGTTAAAGCTATATCCCTCACCCGAACCGCGTTAACCGTACACTCCCAATGTACCGTTTAAGCACTCAACTCCTTACGCCACAAGAAGAGAGGAGGTGCGTCCGATGCCAAATTTTCAGTGGAAATAGCGAAGGATTGTGTTTCTCCACGAGCGCCCGAGACTTTCGTATCGCAACTACATGATTCGACAAGGGAACGACTGGAAACAAGCGGAGAGAACGCGCGTGCAACTAAAACCGTAGAGTCCGATGTACTCTCTTGCACCTTACTGCGCTATCTACTTGAGCTTATTTTTCCTGAGTTGGAAAAAATAAAGGGACTTGGTTCCGAAACCGCTGGTCAACGCCCAGCACGGCTCGAGGCTCAGAGCTGTGCTGACGGAGGGTCTCTGGGTGTGTCATGAAAACGGAGATGGGTTTTGCTGAGAAAAGTGCCTCTGCAAAAGGTCTCATATTTCTGCAAGATAAACTGGACTCATTTCCAATCATGAGATGATTTGTAATGAAAGATAAGGTGAGTTCTATGTCTTGGCTTTGGGGCCCAATTTCAGGCTTGGCTTGAAGATCATTGTTTCGTGTTGAGTGGCCAGGGCCCCCCCAGGACCTGAGGCCCGATCTCGAAGCCGCAAACACCAATCCTTTGCTTGCAAGACGCTAACCAAAAGAAGCCCAGTCCCAAACCTGGTGACCAGAGGGTTTGTCTTCGAAAAAAGGCCAACAAATCAGATGTAACTAAGAAAATGCAAACACATTTTGAGAATATACAAAAATCACAAATCGGGAAAGAACCCAAGCGATAGGAAACATAGTAACATCTAAGAATCTGAAAAGACTGGCAGGGGCCACGAACCCAATGCAGACATGTGATCACGGGGAACATAACGAATCGTAACGAATCGTAACGAATCATCCGAAAAGATGTTTGCGTCTGCTTATATCTTCTCCTCTACAATTTCATGCATTCATTTATTCTAGGCTGCCTTCTTTTATTCTTTCACCCGTCTGTTACTCTATCTTTTGTGGTGTATCTCTCCCTCTCTCTCTCTTCTTTGTTTTCTTCTTCTGCTTCTTCTCTCTCTCACACTTCCTTTTTCCAACAACTCCCTGTGCTTCTTTCTCTTTGTTTCGTCTGTATCCCTCTTTCCATGTCTTTCTCTATATTCGATTTCTCTATATTCGAATAGCTGATAGCAATCCGCGAGCATAGTTCGGAGCCATTCGCGCGGCCATCCTGAGTCTAAGTCGCGCGAGCTGCATAGATACCGCAGGAGAAAACTGGCAACATATTCCAAGCATGGTTCAAACTACTGTACCCGGCATGCACTTTTCTTCGCGGCACGTCTAGGCAGAACAACTCGGAAAGTCAACAGTCCTTCTCAGCGGGAAGACAGACGGGGTACCTGCCACCTGTCACTATCGCGAAACATGCTCCAATCAATAGAGTATGCAAAATCTGCCGAAGCAGAAATGGAATCTCTGGCACAGAACAAAGCCAGTGACAACAACCGACATGGAATCCGCCAAAAGCCTCCCGAAGAACGTGCAAGCGTGATTATCCCTGTACTGGTTTGAAAACGCCGTGCAAATGGTTCTTATCAACAACACCAGGAAATAACAAACGAGACCAGGAAAAAAACAACGGAACGGTGAATGATGCCGTCTCAGAGCAACGCATATATAAGTATCTGTACCTGCATCATGAAATGTGTAGATCTGGAGCACTGTACCTGCATCATGAAATATGTAGATCTGGAGCATGGATCGCATACGGGGATATGGACGTGCGTGCAATTGTCGCCACTCTGCTTCTTGCCTCGACTCGACAAGGAAGCGCTAAGACTAACGTGTCTATCACTTCGAGGTGATGCGCCAACCACTCCACTGCCCGCGATTTTCGTAGCGCCCGTTACCACATTGCCGCCTAAAGGGTCCTGCGTGTGGAAGGCTGCATGAACATTCTGCAGAAAACCGACATGGAGCTTCAACATGTGCACCAAATGCATTTCCCCAGCCGAGCGCAACTTCATCCACGATTGCGATGGTTTCCGCAGCGGATCGACTCCAAGCGCGCGTGTACACATAATAGATGCCGGACCATCTAGCAGGAACGTCTCGCGGTCCCCATTGTTCCGAGCGTCGCAGCGGATCACATCTCAGAATCTCAGGAGTTTGTTTTCCATGTCTTCCAGAACCTGCGCCAGACTTCCTCTTGGCCTGGAAACATCCGCCACACAGGCGCGCACTTTCATGTCCCGAAGCATGGTGACATCTCCAGTTGATCGTCGGATATCTGTAGCCAGGTGCAAGACAGCTTGAAAATTTCGATGACCTTCCACATCCTCTCATGTGGCAACCGCGTGCCCGTCTCCCGCATGCTGTTCACGATGACAGTCGCTGTAGTATGGCGCGCCAAATCCTGCACAAGAGGGGCCTCATCCTCGAGACTGTCGTGTTTTGTCCAGCTGCCATGCCGCATGCCCCAAGAAAACCTCACATGCATCAAGAAAGTGTGTGCTCGATGTTGTCACTTCGTGAACCACACTGATTCCAGATGCCTCATCCTCGACACCGTCGTCACTTTTTTAGGGAATCATGCTTCAAAAAACAACAACATGGCATTTCCCAGAGGGTGTGCTCAAATGGTGTCACCTCGTGAGCCAAAGTGAACGCTTGCGAAAACTTCCGAACGCTTTGCGAGCACAGAAGCGCGCCGACCGAAACCTCCCCAACCCCACACCCCAACTCTTTACACAGAACCTAGTTTGCAGTTACCCTCGAAAGGCCTGTTTTCTTCTTCTTCTTCGTCTTCTTCTTCTTTTTCCTGCTCCTCGTGCCTAGCCGGGCACCTGCCAGCATGCACAACTGCAGACCTCGACCGACCTTGGAATGGGTGGCCAGGGAGTCTGCCTCTGCCACTAGACCATGGGTTTTGTTGAGATTACGCAGCATGCTTTCGCATGTTGTTGATATCCTGTCATGATTGTGAACTTCCCAGAATGTTTTTAAAAATCCAGCCCGCGAAGAGCTTCAGCTCGCAATTCGTTTGCCAGTTACAGAGGAAACTTCAAGATAAATGTTGTAAAGATCAATACACTAGGAGCCCGGCTCTCAGTAGAATTTAGTATACAGCACCTACTATATACTCTCCTGCACATTAGTGCCAAGATGACTACGGAACTACATGTCCACGAAGCTCAGACCCAGACTGAGGCCAAGCCAAGTTCGGAAAGGATCACCGCGACTCATTGCTCTCGGCAAACAGCCTGGCGGACAGGGTTTCCAAACGACTCATTAGGCGTTCAGTGGTATAATTCCTGCTCTCGGGGTAGCTTTGGGCGTCGAGGGGACGCCGGAGATTAGGCGCTTATTCCCCAAGTGTGTCAACACTAGGGTGTTTCAACATGCAGAGTAAGAGGGGTTCGAACCGTGACTACGTGCGGCGAAACCGGCCTTTGTGCACGCTATTACAACGCGTCTTCCTCCAGGAGCGGCCGCATGATGGACGAAAATCGTACTAAGCCCACAGCGCTGGGCATGACACCGACCTCTTGGGGGCTTCCGAAACATCATCTTCATTGGCAGGCGCAGCAGTTTCGGCTCCAAGCATCGGTTTACCTCTGCGGCCGCGTCTGGGAAGGTCTAAATTCTGATTGCCTGCTCTCGAGATCCACACACAATCCACGACCTTCTCGTACGAAATGCGTCTTGACGAGCTAAGGCTCGAGATGCAATCTGGTTGCGAAACGCGATCGACGACTCTCTCGCACGTAACGTGTCACGAGGCGCCTATGCTCGAGCTTTGTTACGACTGTGGCACCAAGACTCCATGTTTGGGTGAGAGTCGAAGGTGACAGACGAGCCTCTCGCACGCGCGTCCCGAGGCGCGGAAAGGTTTGGTACCTTTCCAAAACGCGATCGACAGATCGACGACCCTCTCGCGCGAAATGCGTCTGGAAGCGCCCGTATCCACCCTACCGTCGGAGAAGTCTACCAAAAACACGAGGGACATGCCTGAGCAGAGTCGTCACAAGTGTCAAGCCGGAGGCAAGGTGGTTGAAAGACTGTTGAAAGGTTTCGGAGTGAGTATCGGATATCAGGTGACAGAGGGTTCGGGCTCAGCTTGCCAGGGTTTAAGGCCAAAAACTATTTAGGTGCTTTCTAACCGGAGCATGCCGTTCTTCAAATGCCCTATGGGCGCACCTTTGTGCGCCCTCTTAAAACTAGCGCCCCAAAGCTTCTGCCACACTCGTTGCACACGTTGGAGGAGATTCTTCTGCAAAAGGGCTGGCTTCGGGAAGCCACTTCAATCTTGCGGGAGGTGCTGGCCACCAGCCGCTTCCTGAGCTTTATTTATTCTGTTCAGGTACTAGTATGCCATGGTATACTGTTTTGTGTTTAAGCCGTGTCGAAGGCCCCTCCAGTGAGCAAAAAACAAGCTTGGATGTTCGCTTCACCTCGCTGGAAGTCCTTTGTTTTAGACTCGAGCAACTGCGTTCAAATTTCGAGGTCGCAACATCAGGCGTTGTGAACACGGCTTTATGTATCCAGCTTGAAGATGCGAAGCGTCGCCACATTTGTGGGGAAGCTACGTGCGCAGAGATGCGATGTCCTTGGGGCTGACTTGCTCGCTAACTCATGAGGGGCGAAACCCAGATCAACTCCAATATCCCTGTTTTTTCGTGTACCAGTTGGAGGCTGTTGGTACTTTACGAAAACGATTTGCTACTCTGTGGTAGTCATATTGTAACTCCTCTCCGATATGTCGGGATTTGCGGTTTAGCGTTTTTCGGGATTCAGAATATGGTCACAGGCCGAACGCGGCTGCCCGATGATCCGCTGACCTTGGAAGCCCTCAGCAAGCTAGCCACAGTGCAGCTGAGACAGCAGCGTTTAGGATTTCGGGGTTTATACAGGGGTTTAGGGTTCAGGCTTTAGGGTTTACTGGAAGAACGGCTTAGGGTGGAGAGCAAAGGGTTGGTTGGGCCCCATTTCCTAGCTCAAGAGGAAATCGAGATTTCGAACTGAACACAAAACTCAGACACCCAAAGCCCCTGTGTCTTACAGGGGCTTTCGCCTTTGGCAGAAAAAAGAGCAACTCGAGCTGGGTCGCCTATGAGACAGTGCGTTGTTTCATTGTAGCATGTGGAAATTAGAATAGTGTGCTGGAATGATGTTCTAACATCAAGACGTTTTGTGGCAAACAGCCAAAAAAAGTTCAGACAATGCCAACACATCACAAGTTCGCAGCGTCAGGTCAAGATGCAATGCTGCAACCTCATAGACTTCCTAGCCCCGTATGCCGAACTGCTTGTTGGTCAAAATTTGTTACCTTGCTTACAACTGAGGCTGAGTGAACGAAGCCTCTATGATGAGGCTTTGAGTCTGCAGCATGAAGCGCTGGGGATGTGCCGACGACTTAGAGGTTTGAGCAAATCCTCTATTGCTACTACTACAGCTGCTACTGCTACTATTACTACTGCTAGCCCCCCAGCTCCACCAACTACCTTAAGCTTAATTAAGCAATTGCAAATTGCGTGGCAGGCGTGGTACTTCCGGCACGCAAGACATATAGAAACAACTTCCCCGGTTTGTTTTACTCTGAAGCTAAGTTTTGGAGCTTGCACGGCTTCGTTGAGCTTAATCCAATTGCAAGTTGCGTGGCAGGCATGGTATTTCGAGCACCATGAACTACACGCAATTGGAAATTGTATGGCAGGCGTGGTATTTCCAGCACAGAAGACATGCAGAGATTACGACTGGACTCGGTTTTGAGGTTCAGGATTGGGGCTTGCACTGTGCAAATTGAGTGGCAGGCGTGGGCGGCAAGCACTCAACAGATGTAGGAAATTACTTCTTTGTTTCTTATTTGGGTGCAGGATTTCAAACCAAGGGCAATGGGCAGCAACTCTTTTTCCTTCCAAATCTAGGAGATCCCTCATTCCTTAGAAGCAATCATATGTGGAGAAAGAACTCTTTATACAGTTCTCTAGTATCAAAACCATATAAAAACGTCAGTTTCCCTCCAAATCTAGGAAACCCCTATTCGTTATGAGGAACAGTCATCATTTGTCTAATTTATTGGGTTCTGGTTACCAAAACCTACAAATCAGGGTCCCCCGATGCACCTGCCTTTACTTGTAGTTTTGGTAGTCTTTGGGATTTTGTTTTGCAATTTTGGCTCTCCCGACAACATGTATTTTTCAGGGTGTTACTAACCCGATGAAGGGACTAGGCATACTAGAATATATTCATTACGTTTTTTGTTATGCTATTCTTACGTTTAAAAGTATTGCTGCTAGTCTGAGTACTAATATTGTTTCACCCAAGCTATTCTTAGAAGTATTCACCTTTTACTACTGGATGTGGTAGTTGGACTAGTAGAATACCAGACTAGAATGCAGGCCAGCATCATCTAGTACAGTAGTGTAGTGTAGGGTCGTGTAGTGTAGTGTTGGGGTAGTATAGCAGAGCATCTTGCAGTATAGTAGAGTATAGTGTAGCATGGTATAGTATCGTATAGTATAATGTAGCATAGTACGATATAGTACTGTTTACTGGTTATTGTATAGCATAATGCGACATAGAGTATCAAAATATCCGAGCGTGCAGGAGATCAAAATGCACGTACGGAAATTTGGTAAGGCAAAAACTCTCTACTCAACATGCAGGATTCCCGAGCCGTTGGAAGTATCAGGCCCTCACTGCCAGCATTCCATCACTGAGGTCGCACCATTCACGGCAACCTTCACCTGCAGACACTGGCTATGCTCTACAACCTTGGGCTGCTGCTTCACGCGGCTCGATGTGCTGACTTGCAAAACAACCCGACCCCACTCGCCCGAGATACTTAAGCTAGGCCTTAAGCCAAGCCTTAAGCTGAAAACTATTGCTCAACGATCAGAAGCAACAGAAGGAAACATTGAAACTAAGAACCTGGATCAATTCATGAGGCCAAGGGCTACTTGGACCAGGCGGCGGCTGTGGCGACGGAAGCCCTACAGAATCGCACGGGCCCCGGGCCGCCGATCGATGATTTTGAGGAAATCAGGGGCCGTTGGATACGGGCAGATCTTTCAAGTGCATGTCTAGGCATCCTGAACCCTAAACCCGAAGCATCTGCAGAACCACCAGCCTGTTACTCCGAATCAGGGTTGTTCTTGTTCTTGGAGGATGAGAGGTAGGGCAGTGCAAATCTCTCACAGGCCTGATGCACGTAGGCTGCCGTCCCCCACTCCCCCTGGGATATCCCAGGCTATTGCTTTCCAGGAAGGCCCCCATAGGGGCAAAGCACTGTGCTCTCTGGAGCTGCAACTTCCAAGAGTGTTCTAAGCATTGGAGAATGCAAACAGATGCCATGGAATCGTACAAACCTAATCACACACCATTCCAGTAGCCTGCTAAAAACGGAATGTGATCAAAACCCCGTGTCTTCAAGTTGCAGAAAGAAACTGCCGGAATTGCTCAAGCGCGATTTTTTTTTTTTTTTTGGGGGGGGGGGGGGGGGTGGAGGCAAGGGCATAATCGGGATAGCTTGCCTCTTAACCCTAAGACCTTGAACCTCTCCAACGAGGTCAAACGAAGCTTGGTTCCGATCACCCGGACGTCGTTCCTCGCCTACTCGCCGGCTTTTTTGGACTCTGATTTCCATTTCCTCGTCTTGTGAAATCAGCGAAGGTTCTCTCCACCAACAGCCTCGCTTCTGTGCTGCTGGACACTCGGGCACCACTAGCACGGGCTGCTTGCCCAACTCCAATTGAAGTTGTGGGACATCGCAATCAGAGCGACAGCAGAATGCTTTATCATAAAGCTACATGCCATAGGCATCCAGCGGCATCCAGAGCCCGAAAGAGGTGCTTCCTTTTCTGTTTCCCAGGACAAAGGAGACCTTTCGGCAGCAAAGCAGCTACTCTCCGAGTGTGTGGAGAGATGTGGGAGCCTTTGTGACCAAGACAAACAAACAAATCCCACTCGTGATTGCTGCGGCTTGCATGTTTATCATGATGTTTGAGGTTCTGAATGTCATGTACTAGCTACTGGAATTTGCACAGTACTCGGCTTCAACTCTACGACCATAAATCCTACACCCTGCGAAAGCCCGAATGCATGAACCAAGCGCCTGTCTTCCTCAAGGCTTCGGTCCTTACTGAATACCAAATGTGTCTTTCTTGGGCTGTAAGCAAAAAGCCAGCAAGATCGTATTTTCTGCATGGGGTTTATGGTTGAGGGCTCTGAGTTTCAGGGTTAGGGCTCAGCATCTGGAGTCCAGCGTGTCCACTGCATTCTGGGCAGCCGACAAGTCTAAAGCGACCTCGGCACAAGACTTGAACCCGTACAAGATGGTCCTCGCTCAAACCGATACTGGACTTCCCTGGGCGATATCGCTTTGCACATGAGCGGGGTGTACATTCCTGACCAACTGAAAGACTGATCCATGGTGTTGCTCGTCCACGTTTGTGGAATGGCTGTTTGGCACCGGGCCCTTGTCTTGCCTGTTAACAGAGGAAGAAGCGCGAATATCCGCTGTATTACCGTGCCCAACTGCACGCCATAGATATATTTCTACGTAGTCTTAGTCTCTTGCATATGTAGATACACAATGTTTTTTCCAGCCTGTTGTTCCTAAAGGTTGCGACTTGGGTAGTTAAACGATTAAACGGAAGCCCTGATGTGCGCAACGAAGCAGCAACGCACTCAGTCATAGCCCTCATACTGCTGTGCTTGTCGGTGACATAATTAAGCGTTTTCAGACTTTCCTACTGCTACCTACCTGGCTACCTAGGCACCGAGAAGTTCCACGAGCAGCACCACCTGGTTGCAATGACGCGCTGCAACCTGGTGCGTGCTCTACTGGCACAAGACAACTGTCTGGAAGCAGTGCCGCCTCTAGGCACGACTTGAGAGTGCGCAGGCCATTCTTCTTGACCGCTGTTTTGCCATACTACAGAAATACTACATCATACTGTCCTTTTGTGTTATGCTCGAAGCCAAGGCTAGCATGGCAACTGGAAGAATCCCTGCGAGGGTACAGGTCTGGGACAATCGGTGAGGGTCGCAGCCTTATTTGGTACATGAGTAGCCCTCAAATCAGTGGGAACTCGCACGTGACATCCGTCGTGACATGAGCGTTGCCTACGCTTGGGCTTATGGGAATGGTTTCAAGCAGCCAACGAATGGCAAACGCTCAGATCCGCGATGCGTCAGCACTCACCGCGTGTAAGACCTCGTGACGAGTGTAGTTTAGTTGCAATCATAGAGCGCTTGCTAGAAGCCTGTCCCGAAGTTGACCTGCGAAGCCGTCAACACACCGTGCTGCAAAGCGAACACAAGCTGCGCAAGGAGCACAACCTTCATCAGACTAGACCCAGGGAAAAGGCGCTAAGCATGGCTAAACCCACAAAGAATGCCAGGAAACACGGGCACAGCAAGCCGAAAACCTAGCAACATCGACAGGCGCATCGGAAACCCAGCAGACAGCCGACAAAACAAACGACACATGCAAAATTAGCAGTTTAGCCTACAGTATTTGAACGAATTCGCTTCTTTCCCTTCGTGCCTGTAATGAAATTAGTAAAGAGATCGAAGTGAACGTCCGTGCGGAAGAAGCCTCATTCAATAATGTGATTTCGCGTGCAGAAGCCGCTTGCGAATAAGCTTATTTACCGCACAAGCCTTGCGGTGCACATTATTAATCTTATGGCAGATTCACCCTTTTCTCCGTCTAGACAGCAGCATTAGTTGGGACCCCAACCGCCCGTCTAACCTTTCGGAATCTCCCATAAAATCCTGTATCTGGGTCTGGTTCACCCATCACACCTTGAGATCCCAACTCTCTCAGACATTGGCGTATCCGTTCACACCCGTGAAATCGCATGCCAGGTTAACCGCTCTTTCCGTGTCACCCAACCCCTGTTTTCGCCTGAGTATTTCCTGGTGATGGAAGACACGACATGGCGATCCTTACAGCGAGTCCCTGCGGGATCGCCCAAGCGATGCTGCTTGAGTCTGGGCTTGAACATTGTGCTGCTGGCACTTCTGCTCAGCGTCCTCGGGCTTCGTTTGGCTGCCTTGTCTGCCCACAGATAGAAACGAAGGCAAAGCCCCACCCCCAGCTCCATCGCCTAGCCTGCTCAGAAACATCGGGCCTTCGCGAACATCAGCAGGCTTCTGGTGCAGCTCTACCAGCGTCGGGGTCTCCACTGAAGACAGGCCTCCGTGTTGTAGCAGCTACTTCTCAGCTCCCGCACTGCGTTAACCCCAAGACGGCTAGCGGCTAGAGGAAAGCACGGTGCATCTTTCCTGGGGAAAGCTTCATACCCAGTCCGGATAAGGCGGGGGTTCTACCAGACACCGACAAGCCGTACCGAGCTCACAAAGGAACAAGAAAGCAAGCAAACATACAAGCTAGCTAACTATCAGGCAAGCAACAAGTAAATCAGCAAACTAGCAAACTAGCACGCAACTCAACGACCTAACGAACTAACTAACTAACGACCTAACGAACAAGCTAAGCAACCAACTAACGAACTTCCGAACTAAAGAATTGGCGAACTAACGAACTATCTAATGTTGGGCACGGGGCCCAGAACCAATTAATCGGGAATCCCCTGCCTGTCAGTCTTTTGTGCCAGCATCCTTACTTGCTTAAGTAGACCTCAAAGCCTTAAGGTCGCAGGGACTAAGGAAACCCTCCTGGGCTTCTGGAATCCTGATTCAGCGAAAGCAAAGATGTCCAGATCCAGCTCTCTACTGCTCAGTACTGGTACTTAGTACTGCAGCGACTGTGAATGTCCTTTAACCTGCACTACTACTCAGCACTACACAATCCACGACCAAACCTTCTGACCGGGGAAAACCTTTCGCTGAAAACCTGTAGGGGGAGGGGGTTCCTTCCTCAGGGGTGTAGACATAAGCATTAACACTAACATGAACATTAAGCTTAACTATTATTGACTTTTGTTGCGCACTAAAACAATCAGCCGGTCAGTTTGCGCAACTAAACCCACTGCGCAATCTTGCTGTCCACGCAGGTTGCGTCCAATGCGACACATGATGCAGAAACCAACACCACCACCTTCAGCCAACTAGACTGCTTACCTTGACCCAGCTTGAGGCGCTGAAAGAATCCCCGAGGATCTTCCGCAACGCTTAGAAGCAGAGAGCCTCTTCGCAGCAGCTCTCCTGACAACCTTTCGCTGCGGACGTGCTTCAGAGGAGTTGGACAAAATCCTTCCATTGTGCTGGAACCTCAGGGCCTGACATTGGCCGGGGGGTTTACGGTTTCGGGCTTTTGAGCTCACGTCGTCAACCCGTGTAGGCGAAGTTGCGCGGCGCATGTAGGAATAGCTTCAGCGCGGCATCGCATCATAAAGTATATTGCAAATCCACAGTTGCTGTAGGTTATAAACTGTTTAAGAGTCGCGCCTCGAGGCTTCGACCTGAACTTCCGAACTTCATCTTGTTGGGTTTGAGGTTTGGGGTTAGGGTTTGAACTTTCGTTGGACATTTGCCTGATCTTGGAGTTTCAAGTAGTGGACGTCTGCCGATGAGTATAGGACATTATAGTAGACATAGTAGACTGGCACGCGCTGCTGCATCACGTGCGTATGTTGCAGACTGTGAGCACTACAAAAGAACTACTGTACTGTAGCATGCTGCAAGTATTACCATGCGATATATACGGACCACAAAATAACCTGTTCTGCACCTCATAGAATGTTGTGATTCATGCGGGAGTCCAGGATTTCAGGGTGAGCGCGACAGATGAAAGGCTATTGCGTAGTCGCATTCAAGAGCACTTCAGACATGTAGTTGGCCATTCCCTAGATTGCCAGGATTTCCTTACAATTCGGATATGTACGGAATGGGAAGTGCTTAGCAGACTTGACAAATTGCTAGGTCGGGCGAGATTGGGCGATGCTCACCCCACAACGCTGGAAGCTCTCCAGAATCGGGCGTGGGCATGGCAAGTGGAGGGCGTGCTAGAGTCCGGTGCAGCACCGCTGGTTCGAGAAGTTTTGCAGACCT